TAGTCTATAACTTTTGATTGAGAAGTCTGATCGAAAAAGTACAAATTGTTTTGGATTCTACGCACCCAAATTAATAAGAAAAAGTGTTTTCCCGAGAAATTTTGGCGCAGTCGATTTTTGGTAAAAAAGGAAGGTTGTACACTGCCTTTTTTTTCGGGCCTCAAAATAAATTGTCGCAGATCGACCCGGAAAAAAAATTTCTTATAGAACGTGGCCTGTAGAATCCATAATTTCAAACAGTTCCAAGATTGGTCTACTAGTCCAAAAGTTACAGCCCTTTGAATTTTCTTTCGAAATTGGTTTCTGGTCTATAACTTTTGATTGAGAAGTCTGATCGAAAAAGTACGAATTGTTTTGGATTCTACGCACCAAAATTAATAAGAAAAAGTATTTTCCCGAGAAATTTTGGTGCAGTCGATTTTTGGAAAAAAGGAAGGTTATACATTGCCTTTTTTTGCCCCGAAAAAAAAATTGTCGCAGATCGTCCCGGAAAAAGATCTTTGTCTTATGGTTTCCGAGATCCCAATGCTTAAAAAAACTCACCCTGTTCAAGGGATTATTTTTTAGTTCATTGTGTGTCGCAGAATTTCGTCACAATGTGTACAATAAGAAATGCGTATAGACTGGATCGATGAGAGCGTTTACAAATTGATTTTGAATCTGACAGGTAAACTTGAAATGGTACGAGTGCAACTGAGTTGGGCAAAATCTAGCTTTTGCCTTCTAAATTTGAGTTTACTATTTTTCTTTCCGTACAATATCCGTGTGCCATTTCTTAAACAGAAACACAGCAAAGTGCTACTGCTAATCGCCGCAATGTTCTCTTGATTGTTGAGTAAAACGCGTTAAAAACTTCCTGTAATTAACCTGCCAGCCGTGAGATAAATGGTGAAACTTCGTCCTGTTACTCCTGTTCATTATTATCCTTTTTAAAAGGCGCGCGGAAAGTTGCGGAGCTAATACTAAATAATGGAGTGCCTCGAAGGCGTTAATGTATTCTCGATATAACCTGATTTATTTGCGCCGTTAAATCATAATATTTCGCCCTATTTATGACGAGTCAAAAACCGGATATAAATTACGTCGAGATGCTTTCGACGCGGTTAAATGCGATGGGCGAATGCGATTTGCGTAATCAGGTAAATGGAAAATCGTTGGACGAAATTTAATTATAAGGGTAACGGCGAGTTACGCTTTTATACAGTATGCTATGGGGATGTAATCAGCTCTTTACATTTTCCGACGAGTTTCCACTAGCGGAAAGTTTACGAGTTGGGACAGAGAATTATCCTTTTGTACGGACTGAAGTTTATGAAGTGCTTTCGAAATCTTCAATTTCTATCAGAAACGATTTTTCGTGAGGGTTGTACTTTTCATTCAAATAATTCGTGAGGTTCCCAAACTTTGCACGCCTCTCAGTCACCATCAATATCCTTTAGTGATAGTATCAACACTAAAAGGAAATTTAATTTATAGGCCGTCCGACGTTTATACCTCCCGAAGAACCATTTATTTCATTTTTCGCATAAAAAATAGTAGGTAAGTGATCTATACTAGCTAAGTCTACACCGAATTGATTTATAAAAATATTTTGAGCTTTATGGAACTTCCGGATGTATACGAATCGAATGAAAACGTCGTTTGTCTTTTAAAACGGGACGCGCTAGTTTTTTGTGATTTATTTAATAACACTAAATTTTTCCGCTCGTTTTTTTATCAACCAATAGCTTACCAATTATGTGCAAAAGTTTATGTGTTTTCAGAAGTTGGCGCCGAATATTCTGAAAACTTAGTTTTGAAATAGAGGATTTCCTTTTTCTATACGCGTGACATTGCAGTATAACTACAGAAATTATGTAACTAGAGGTAGCAGTAGGTATCTATAGGTCCGTGAATCTTTGATTTGATGTTTGATTGTTTTGATCAGGTTTCCAGGTTTTGAAAGATTGTTCACTCTGGATATAGGGATCTAATTACAAACTGGCATTGTATCAGTGTAAAATCCAGTGTAAAAGAGAAACAGTGGATTTCTGTTTTCACGTTTTCAAAGGTAGGAAATTTCAGATGAGTTCATTTTTGAATAGTAGTTAGGTACATATTACGAAAGGCCTAGGCATTACCATACTTAACCAAATTCTGAAAATAATGAACCTGTCTTGTTTGCTTTATAAAAGTCAATTTATTTAACGGAGTCAATTTCCAAAAGCGTCTAAAAAACTCAATTCAAAAACGACTTTCAATAGATTTAAAAAACTGCTTAAATGAAAATTATAGTGGGCTATTGTTTTAAAAGAATCATAGTCGTCTATGAAAAATACTTGACAGTTGTAGTTTGTTTTTTTGGAAAAATTGTTTGTCAAAATAGATTTGCATGCATTCTTCATGTTAATGACATTTTAAAATTGTTGAAAATAAATTTCAAAACGACTAACTACACTAACTATGAAAAATATGACATGCTAATTGTTAATTGTTAATTCAATGCAAGTTTTCAACATCATTACAATTTTCCGAAAGGATACAAGCAAATGTAAAGATTTTTAGCCGGTAAATTCTTGTTATTTATTATTGTTATGAACTTATATCATGTATTGCATATACAGAGTGCCCATTATGTATGGAATATAGGTAATATATATCTCGGTAAATATCGAATACAAAATTTGTATATATGAAAGTTGTTTAACATTTTTTTCCCATAACAAGGCAGCATTCAGTTGATTTATTTCAGAAAACAAATGGGTAACGAAAAACAACTGATTTTTTTTAATGGCAGTGCCACTTTTCATTATGCTAATTTGATAGAGATTTTTTTCTCTTTTCGATGATGTAACATGTTAGTATACAAGAAAATTTTTCAAAAAAACTTATAATCACATCAATAACATTAATCTAGATATCCTACATCAAAATAAAACAAATGAATGTGTACGTTTGTTACCATTTTGTTGCAAATTTCATTTTGTCTTCAAGGTTTAATAATTAAGAAACGTATACACGTTCATTTGTTTTATTTTGATGTAACATATCTTGATTAATATGATTGCTGTGATTATAAGTTTTTTTGAAAAATTTTCTTGTATTAGAGTAATAACATGTTACATCATCGAAAAGAGAAAAAAAGTCTCTAGCAAATTAGCCTAATGAAAAGTTGCACCGCCATTTAAAAAAAATCAATGGTTTTTCGTTGCTCATTTGTTTTCTGAATTAAAAACAACTGAATGCTGCTTTATTATGGGAAAAAAATGTTAAACAACATGTGCATTTCCCACAACAATTTACCACTTTAAATGTTGATCAAGCTTATCTTTCAAGTGTTTCATAGGCGACTATCATTTTTGTTATTTATTTTCAGACAAGATGTATTATTAATAAACAAAACTTATTGTTATTATTGAAAATAAGTATGACAATTATACATTTTGAGAAAGCTAGTAAAACAATCATAGGCAACTATAATTTCGCTTTAAAAAATTAACTTCGAGTTACAGCGCAGTTACTAAAAGAACTACTAGAAACAAACGACTAACGGCATGGATGTCTACGTTAAAAAGTGCCTGAATAATGCTAAAGCGATTATGTTCTAGCTTCATTGAAAAATAAAACATGGAAGAACATGGAAAAAAGAGGGCACCTAAGCCGTTTTGGTTTATCTGCGCTAATAAGAAAGTTACCCATTTAATCCCATCGAAATTGGACCGCACTCTACAGGTAAATTTTAAACAAGTAAATCAAAGTTCTGGACGAAGAAGACCGACGCCGTTATTGTGCGCAAATAACTTAAACCGCAATCCTTTGCGAGGTCCAGGAGGAGGATCAATTAGCAATATTGGGCGATTTTTCACATACAACGATAAGCCCGTAAAATATGTAGATTTTCCTTTGGATATTATCTATTTAATAAGAACCATAATTTAAATGAACAAGATGCCTAAAAGATTACGAAGATACCTACCTTCAGTAAGGTTCTAAGAAGGAACAGGAATAGTTCAAAAATGATTTATCTGTATAAAAAATTTTAAATCTCGGAAAACCTTTAAAAAGGGCTTTTACAAAGATTCTCCAGAACTTTTGCGAAGTTGCTAATAAAATTGTTGACGATTATTTACAAGATATTAAAAAAAAACTTTAATGAAAATTTCCAAGATTTCCAAAAGAAATTTAAAATGTTACCTAGTAAGACTTCGAAGAAGGATTCGGAGGAGGTTTCTAGCACTTCGTTAGGAGACGGTTTCGAAAAATATCAAGTTTTTCTATGATAGTTTTGAAATTGATTTCTAGTAATGTTTTGAAAAAAATGTCCAAAGAGTATTTATAATTAATTACGATGCTTCTAAGGAAATTCAGTGCACGCGTTTTTGTAAGAATTGCAGCGGGTTGCTGGCATTTGGTTTTTCACCCATCTCGCGTTAAAACAGAAGACATCTAGATAGTCCTTCAGGTTTACCCTTTTTGATACGGTTCGGTAGCTCGTAAACGTGAAGTAGTCGTAAGGACGAGAATCAAATGTCAAATCCCTAATTGAACGGCACGTGATCGAGATCATCAAAGCTTGATTATTCGTAAAGTTTGTCGCCAATCCAGCGCTTCGCAACATTAACGTTTGCGTAAGAGTTTTCGTTTTGTAGTATTTCTTAGTTTAAAACGACATTTTCTACTGATTATTCCCCATATTCGTAAAAAGTTAGCGCCACTGTGTATAAAACTAGAACTTTATAATGAAACAAAGAAAAAGCATAAAAACAAATTGGGGCTTTATTTTCCAAAAAAGCGAGAGAAGCTCGAATTCAAATTTTGTGGTAAATAAGTTTACGTCCAAAGTCAAGATGAATTAATTTGTTTCCTTTGTTTCTCAGAGCTTTATCGATATCTACATTTTTATTTTAAGTTGTTGCCGGAAACATCTAAATTAAATGTTTGTAGCACTTCTGATTGCAATTAGTTTCGCTTTGGAATTACTGTCGCATATGCAATACAATTCAATTATCTACAGTATTTACCTGGAATGAAAACAGTACACACATAGTTTTCACATTGTTCAGCAGTAGCCCTTCCAAATACTAGATGCTTTGTAACTTCGAATAAACCCTTGATATTGTATCTTTACTCCATTGTTCGTTAGCTGTGTCCCGATCAAAATCAGCCGTGTTTTCAAAGTCCACGAAATTAGAAAAGATTAAATCAGCAGGGCATCTTCTCTGGATCTACTCAAGTTTCCAATTTATTTTTGTTGGTGTAGCCTTATTCTCCAAAAGATGCAGGCGGATTGTAAACTGAAAGGTCGAACTCGTATTACAAATGTCGGCCGTTGAAGTTTATCTAATGCCGAGCATCTCAAAGGGTTTAAAGGAAGACGTGAGTAGGGCTTTGCGGGTTTGCAAATGTAATAACGCCGGCAGACTATGCAAAGAGATGGGAGTAACGATTCTACTTACGTTGTGATTAATGAAGCGTCGCTCTTTGTTTCCGAAACGAACATGATCATCATTCGAACACCTGTTGCTCTTAACAAATCGATACAACTTCACGATTTCGTCGAGACGCTTCAGCTGGAAAAAGGTCGAGCTTTTTAAACAGTTTCGGCAAGGAATCGGAGAAATGCAACTTTTAATTGGTAAGCACGAAAAGCAAACAACGAAATTAAAAAAAATAAATTTTCACTTGGAATTAAATCCCAAAATATAATACGTTAATTGCCAGTGGGTACCTATATTGGAGAGGCTCGACTAATCCATTAATTGGTGGAGTTGAAAATTATATTTGAACTAAAAAAGGGTGTTTCCAATTTTAAAAGGGGGTATTAAATTAATATATAGGTAGCCTAATTAAACTCTTGGTACATTTACGATGCTATGCATATAAATTGACAAGTGAGACCATACACGCATCGTTTCCAATACAAATCACTAATGGCTCATTTATAGGTTCGGGTGTTTGATGCTTGGGAATACTAGCTTACTTTGTCACAAAGTAATTTATATGGTAAAAAGGTTCAAAAACATTTTTGATTACTTAACATGTATCAATTGATATACTCTGTAACAATCCCAGCAGGCAGCATTCAATGAGTGCTTAATGCAATTTAGGATACCACAGACAAAACAATTTACTTCTAAAACATATAATGCAATTGCTTAGTTTGCATAGAGCATGCAGCAGGGAATAATATATGTTTTCGAACAATTTAAATTAATGACATTTGCAATAACTAGTTAGTACCTCAATATTCACAAACTTTCATGAAAACAATATTAATTCTTTACGGTCGATGAATTCTCATACATACATAAGAAAAGCGTAACAAAACCGCAGATGCAAAATATATGTACGTTTTAACTATTTAGACTACGTATAACTTGTTTGCACAATACAGGATGTTTTTTTGAGAGCTTTAGTTAAACGTTTCTGGGAAAGTAAAATAGGTAGGTTTTTGAAATTTTACACTTAGGAGTTACTCTGAAGGCCGAATCGATGTAAACTATTTTTAAAATGGCCGCACTTCCGGAAACACCGGAAGTAGATAGTAACTTTGTTATTTTAAATGACAACCCCTATTTTTTATTGCATTTTTGGATTCTACGTGAAATTTCAATTCTCTTGATACCCATATATGTCGATATCTGCCATTTATGGTTTTTAAGTTATTTTGACTTTAAGAAAAAAAATGGCGGATGCAGATGGTACCTTGATAATTGATTACTTGAAAACGGTTGTAGTCATGGCAACCCATTTTTATCAGTGCATAGAGAATGAATAGGGATTTCTTTTAGTGTACTTAAAAAAAAGTTAGGTTGCGTACAACCGCACCTATGGAGATCCAAATTTAAGAAACTTCAAAGTCTACTAGCTCAGTTTTTTTAAATGGAATGACCATGTTCTTACTATTGCATGAGATAGAGAATCGAAATTGGCATATTTTGATATTACATGTTCCTATAGCTATCTTTAACAGTTTCTGATTTATTCCTATTTCATTGAATTGATCTCGGAATTGATGCCATTTTTTCTTTTTAGTAGTTGGCCATGATTTTATAACAATCGAATTTTAAACAAATCAAGGAATGGATTCGTTAATATCATTGATTCTAGTCTAAATAATTCAGTAATAAATAAGATTTTTGTTAAGGATATAGGACGGAAAATTTGTGAAAAATCTAGACAGAGTCGTTCAACTGAATTTCTTAAACAACGTACAAGTCTGGAAATTAAGAGAGGTAATGCGATATCTGTTCTACCAACAATTCCATACCATAAATGTTTCAACGAAGTTTTTTATATTTTGCATTGAATTTATTTTGTTAATCTTGCATTTGCAATTCAATTCATTTTCTTAAATTAATATTCTCTTGTAGAGCTTTGTATCACTTATGCTTGACAGTTTGTAGTGCATTTGGGCTACAACATTTCCAAAATTCATACAATTTTGTTCCAGTGTTCGAATGAATGTACGGCAAGCACGTGCCGCGATTCTGTCCATTTCACCATCAATAACAATTAATTTCCAAAATAAGTGAAACCACTGCGAATCATTTTTCGATTTTTGCAAAAATTTTTTTAACCTATAACACTAGGTGATGGATTAGTGTCACTAGATTTGTTTAAAATTCGATTGTTATAAAATCATGGCCGACTACGAAAAAGAAAATCCGAAAAAATAGTGTCAATTCAATAAAATGGGAATAAGTCAGAAACTGTTAAAGATAGCTATAGGAACATGTATTGTCAAAATATGCTCATTTCGATTCTTTATCACATGCAATAGTAAGAACATGGTTATTCCATTAAAAAAACCTGAGTTTTTAGTCTTTGAAGTTTCATAAATTTGGATCTCCATAGGAGAGGTCGTACGCAACTTAACTTTTTTTTAAGTGCACTAAAAGAAAATTCATTCTCTATACACTGATAAAAATAGATTGCCATGACTACAACCGTTTTCAAGTAATCAATTATCAAGGGTATCAAAATATGCAATAATATCAAAAGAATTAAAATTTCACGTAGAATCCAAAAATCTAATAAAATATGGGTTGCCATTTAAAATAACGACGTTATTATCTACTTCCGGTGTTCCCGGAAGTGCGGCCATTTTAAAAATATTTTACATCGATTCGGCCTTCAGAGTAACTCCTAAGTACAAATTTTCAAAAACCTACCTATTTTACTTTCCCAGAAATGTTTAACTAAAGCTCCCAAAAAAACACCTTGTATATTAGCTTTTATAAAGCATCCCATATGTACAAAAAATCAAAAATGCATAGTGAGCTGTTGCTACAATGCACAGGGTGCGTTTTTTTTCATTTTAAGCATTAAGATCTCGGAAACTGTACGACAGAGATTCGGAGCTGTCGTTTTAAGAGCTTATTCAAGATGCTTTTGTTTTATGAAAAAATCCACAGTTTGCTAGATATGAGCGAAAAACAGATTTAGTGATTTTTCTTTTAAATATTGTATTGTAGAATCGTTAGAAATACAGAAATATGGAAAGAACAAAAATTGTAACTTTTTTCCGCTTAATAAGGTACATTTATTAATTTTCATTCTTCTTTTATAATTTCCGAGTTATAACGCAAACTTACATTTTTTGAATGACAACCATAGTTGGCTGTGACATTTTTAAAAAGTGCATTTTTTTCTGTTTACGATGATATAAGATTCATTGTACGTACTTACTTTGACAAATAAACATGATACAAAACTTCTTGTATTATTGAGAGTAGTAAAAACAGAGTTTGCCATGGGAAACATTTTTGTTCTCTTAATTTAGTCTATTATATATATTTAACCATTGAATAAAATGGTTTAACTTAAAACTTTAGGACCACAAATAGAACAACGAAAAAAAATTACGAAATATTACATTTAAACTTCTACTTTGAGGTAATTACATGTAAAGCATTAATCTATCTCGGAAAATGTTCAAAGTGTCCCTCATTCATATTTACACACAAGCGGCATCTTTTCGCGATAAAATTCACACCTTTCCGTATTATCCTACCATCTGAATTACCAAAGAAATTTACCACAGCATCTGCACGTAGTCGTTTGTCGCATAAGTTCGCTGATAAATTAAACCCTATTAGAACACCGAAAATCTTGAAATTCATTTGGTAGAAAATGAAGATAAAGTCGGCGTGATGTCCAATTTCCATCGTAAATTAAAGGTCCAAGAATTCGCGATCCAACAATTCCGCACCAAACATTAAATCCAAGTTTTCTTTGAGGCCTTCTACAATAAACAGCAGTATTTTGTTTATTTATTATTTTTCATGGCATGATACGATCTACTTTTAATAGTGCATATGCATAGTGAATATAATTATTACCTAGGTAATTTAACTTTCATAGTAAATTTTCTAAGATGGCCTTTAAATAATATGTTAAATGTGCAACAGTTACGTATTGTTTTCCATGGCATACTCTGTTTATTTAGGTACCTAAATTCCTGTAGCGCGTTTATTTATTAAAGTAGGTACGTTTAGCAAGCCTTATATCGTTATAAAGAGAAAAATTTGTCCTTTTTAAAAAAATTTAAAAAATTAAAGTTTGTATTATAACACAAAAATTGTAAAATATAGAAGGAAATAGAAGGAAATCAGTATGTTCATATCATGTTGAGCATTAAAATGTCTAATGCCCGGTTTCACAAACTATATGATTAAGGATAATCAGTGATTAAAAATAGTTGAATCTGAGCGTATAATCAAAGGTGGCTAACATTCTAATGTTTTTAATCATTGATTAACCTTAAATCATCGTTTGTAATAGTGTATTGAATATAATTATTAATGTAACTTTCATAGTGAATTCTCGAAGATGGCCATTAAACCTTCTGCAGAGGCACCTCTAAAAAGCTTTATGCGGGTCACTCTGTAATTGGGCGCAAGCCTGTTGAGGGCCCAGAGCAAGAGAGGGATAACAAATAAATAAATAAATATGTTTAATGCCACAGTTACACTACTACATCTATCTCACTAGATATTGTTTTCCATGGCAAACTCTGTTTATTTATCTCTCAATAATACGAAACTTCCCGCAGCACGTTTATTTATTAAAGTACGTTTAGCAAGCCTTATATCGCTATACAGAGAAAAATGTGTCCTTTTTAAGAATGTCAAAGCCAACTATGACAGTCATTAAAAAAATTAAAGTTTGTATTACAACTTAAAAATTGTAAAATATAGAAGGAAATCAGTATGTTCATATCATGTTAAGCATTAAAATGTCTAAAACTTTTATTCGTTTCATTTTGTTGTATTTCTAATAATAACGATTCTACAACAGTTAAATGAAAAATCACTAAATCTGTTTTTCGCTCATATACAGTGTGTCCCAAATTGGGTGGGATTGCATGGGTAACTTTGTTATTATTAAAGATAGAGAATTGGTTAAATGGGCAATGTTTTGCTGTTCTGGATGCTTATTTAAAATTTCCTTATGGAAATTCAAAATGTCGCATAGGTTCGACGTAAATTCAAAAAAACTAAATTTGGTCATTTCCTTGAATGTCTTATATCATCGAAAGTATAAGAGATATAAAAAAAAGTTTTATATAAAAGTGACTGTCTTTGATACGCTTAATTTAGAACTGATGTCAAAAAAAAATTCATGATGGCCACTTTTGAGGAACATTTACCAAATTCCTAAAGTTAAATGGGCGCCATATTGGATTTTTAGATTACTTGATAGATTTTTAAATTCTCTTTTCAACGAGCTATTATAACATAAGATTGAAAATAAGATACCAGTTATATTAACGGTTTTTGTATTTTAATCAAGTAGTCTGTGACGAATAAAAAAAAACAAAACAAAATCTATTCGAGGCAACAAAACAATGAAAATAATTACACCAGATGTTTAAAATACTGGCCATTATTTGTGACACACTTCAAGACAGTTTAGTTTAGGCAACGTGTTGCCATTGATGATTATTATTATTATTGAAGTGGTAGCTACTTCCACTTTACTTTTATTTTTTAATTAAGTACTTACTTTTATAATTTAATGTACTGTACATAATTCGTGAATTGTGACCTGAGCAGCTAGTTTGTTGGTAGGTAGCATAAACTAACCCTTCCTTCGAAACATACGTTGTCGAGAAAAATCCTTTAAGGAAGTTTATTGGAGAATTTGTAAATAGGTAATGGTGAGCAGTTAAAGGTCCATCGAAGATTACCGGTCCAATTACATGACTTCCCATTATGCCATAAAATACATTAATTAAAAAAAATATTACTTGATTTTGGTGTGAAACTAGAACATGTAGGTTTTCCTGTGACGAGTAGTGTTTATAATGTCGATTTGAACACTTCGCAGTTAGAAGAATAAGATTCATCTGTCCATACACTTGGACTGGTAAAACTATTAGTTTCGATATTCTTGCGGATAAACCACCTACAAAATGAGACCTGGGACAATGCATCAATGGTAATACATTGTGTAAAATAAAGCGAAGTGTCTTGAAATGTCTTTAACTGAATAATGGCATGTCTTTTTTCGAGGGGATAGTTTGTAGTTATACCACCATTTGTAGGTATGTAAGTATGGATAATAAGTCAATAAGTGATGTTATAAAAATCAAATTTTTCTAGACCTAATGCTTATATAAAATTTTGGAGGGAGTTGTAATGCCAAACCCCCCCTCTCATGAGTGCGTCCCTGATTTTTTTAAACATCTGATGTAATTATTTTCATTGTTTTGTTGCCTCGAATAGATTTTGTTTTGTTTTTTTAATTCATCACAGCCTACTTAATTAAAATATAAAAACCGTTGATATAACTGGTATCTTATTTTCAATCTTATGTTATGATGGCTCGTTGAAAAGGGAATTAAAAAATCTATCAAGTAATCTAAAAATCCCATATGGCGCCTATTTAACTTTAGGAATTTGGTAAATGTTCCTCAAAAGTAGCCATCTTGAATTTTTTTACATCAATTCTAAATTAAACGTATCAGACAGTAACTTTTATATAAAACTTTTTTTTATATCTCTTATACTTTCGATGATATAAGACATTCAAGGAAATGACTAATTTTAGTTTTTTTTTAATTTACGTCGAACCTATGCGACATTTTGAATTTCCAAAAAGAAATTTTAAATAAGCATCTAAAACTGCAAAACATTGCCCATTTAACCAATTCTCTATCCTTAATAATAACAAAGTTGCCCATGCAATCCCACCCGATCTGGAACACAGTGTATAGTAAACTGTGGATTTATTCAAAAAAACAATAATTAACTGTTTTTATGAGTGGTGCTCTCTGAATTTGATTGAAGATTTCATACATTTTCAACAAGATGGGGCTCCTCCTCATTACTCTATGGCTGTTCGTGAATTTTTAGATGAGAAATTTCCGGGACAGTGGATAGGACGAAGAGGTCCTATAGAATGGCCAGCACGATCTCCAGATCTGACACCATTGGATTTCTTTCTTTGGGGTCATTTAAAATCGGTTGTGTACAAAACTGAATCAGCTTCCATAAATGATCTTCGCTACTAGATAGTCAGCGAGTGCCGTTCACTTTCCAGGGAACTGTTTAAAAATGTTAGAAATGAATTTGAAAACCGTTTGTGGTATTGTTTAGAACAAAACGGTGAACATTTTGAACATTTTATTAAATAAAAGTTGTTTATTTGCGGAGTTCAAATTTTAGTGTAATAAATTGTGAATGGGCAGTTTAAATGTACCAGTGTGTTATTTCTGAAAAGCATTTTTTAAGAGCTTTCCAATGATGTATCACAAGTGATACGTCACAATTCAAAATTTAGGCATGGGGGTGGCGGGGGGTACGAGGTTGAAGTGGGTTCCTTCTTTATACGACCATTTTGCTTGCCCCTCGATTCTACCGAAACGGTTTTAGCCATTTTGTGATACCCATATCATAAAAAACGATATCGCCCATTGAAAGTTTTAAAAGTGTCACCCTGTATTGCGTTCGTTTTTGCACCAATTCAAAAATTTCAACCCCCAGATACAGAATTTGATATTTTCGTACCTCTGTCAATCGATTTTGTTGGATTTCAATGTCAATTCTGTAATTTATTAATTTTACAATGTTAACTTTATTATTATTATTAGGCGGAGTAATTATAGGTACCTACGAAATCATCAATGGACACTTTATTGCTTTATGTTTAGCTCCAATCTCGGACTAACTTCCACTTGATTGCGTATTTGTGCAACTCGCAAAAACCCTCAAGAGAGTTCAGAAACTTAAGAAAAATGTTGATTTTTCATTCAGATTGCACCCAAGTGTGGCCCGCGGGGTCGATTCGACTGTTTTGTGAACAAACGAAATTGAAATGAGATACATAGGAGGGACTACTTTGAGATCTAATGGCAATTTCTTTTCTTTCAGAATGGCACAACAGTTCGTTTACCCTCTGCGAAGAAGGCTACTTCCGCTGTTACAATAGCAGCGTCTGCATACAGCAGATCGAAAATTGCGACGGAAAATTCGATTGCGAGGATGGAAGCGACGAATGGAATTGCGGTAAGTAAAAACGCTTCGAATTTTGTTTGACGTAAATGGTCTCATTCACAAGCCGACGAGGAGGGATCGAAGTATTGGGATCATCTTTTCAGAAAGAACCCGAGCGCCGAGCACGAAGACTTAGACCAGAAATGCGGTAAACGCGTTCTCGTCTCTTTGCGGCACGTAATAAAAATTTCAATTTGTCACAGCGTTAAATTATAATGGCTCCTGCATATGTCGCAGTAAAGTAATACTATGCCAGCACATGAATCTTAAGAGGCCCCCCAATGACTTGCCACATGCAGAAATTGATCTATTGTAAGTCTACCAGAAGCGAAACGCGTAGGTAAATTAAAAACGTTTTAGGGACTTCTCCGGGAATTTCTTCGGGGAGCTTAATACGACCACCGTGAATTCGATTCCGGCAGAAACTAGCAGCTTGTAAGTATCACTGAACGAGAACAACTATTCGTACTGAGCTTTTCAGAGTCCTCCGCCAGTGCGCCATTACAGAGCTCCACCAAAAGACATTTTATAAGCTCTCCTATCTCAATTCGCTGTTAGTAGGCCTACGCACTTTCCAATTATACCAAATCTAACCGACCTTTTTTTTGTAGATACTTGGACAATAACGACCTAGTTATATTTCCCGCGAACATCTTTCCAAAGAAAAACGAACTGACTGTTTTGTAAGTATGGGGAACCTAAAATTGGATTACGTTATTCACTTTTCTATAAGTTTAAATTGAAGTGTCAAAGTACTTACCACAAACTCGCCTCTTTAGGGAGAAGACTTGTATAAATCACTTACAGAATAAAGACTTCGATACAACTTTTCTTGTCTTCGGCCTGAACAATTTATAGAAATGTATTACAATGTGTAAATTATAAACTCGGAGAAGCATTTTGCTTCACTTGCTTAGAATCAAAGTTTGTATAACGAGATTTATATGCCAGAGGCTTACTCTGTGTTGTTTGCTTTGTTTTTGTGTTGAAAAAAGCCGCCCCAAGAGAGGTCGCTAATTATATCCTCATCTGTAGGACGGTTGTGTTTTCATTGTATGCCTAAATCTAAATCACGCGACATTCGAAGTTGTTTCGATGCCTAAGTAATGTATTGAGTAAAGTGAGACATTTTTAAACAAGAGACGAAAAATCTCATACGATTTTTAGTAGGGGAATTTTTTTGGCACTCGGCTCGCACTCCTAAACCAGCTCATATTCAATAGCACTGTCTCTTTTCGCTGTCGACTTAGTCGAAGAATAGGCGGAGAAACGCACAAAACCATAACATAAGGGGAATTTTTTTTCCTTCAATAAATTCCCCTAAAAACGAATTAGAAATTTTTGCCATGCAACTATTTGAGATGGGCCAAAACGACCAAGTGCAATGGAAGTAGGGCAAGATGTGGGGACCATTTCCCAATATTCCTACGGATGAAAATGTTTTTTCTTATTGGGACACCCTTTTAAAAAATCGTATTAATACCTTTGACTACACGGACGGAAGGTAAAAGGGGGTAGTGATAATTCTGATTAATGAAAAACTCTGTTGAAAGTAAGTAGCCTAAAGCCTTCCTGCTGCAGTAACAAATTTTTGAGATTTTACAGCGAATTTACCCTCAAAGGGCGTGAGCAAAGATACTGTTTTAACAAGTATTTTTGTAATAGGCTAACGAATTCAAAAATCGCACTAAAAATATTTAAAAAAAATGCCTTCTGCGATTCGGAAGTTAAAGGAACAATAGATACTACCACCAAAATGCAGTAATATGTTTACATAATAAGGCAAGCCATGACCAACTGTTTTTTTTTTAAATTCGATGTTTTTACCCAAAAAAGTGGGACAGTAATAAAATGTTTCAATTGCTTCCATACCTTGCTTTTTTGTGCAATTCACGAAACTGGAAACGCTTATATCCTCGAATTTTCCTCTACCTATCTGATGCCTATCCCAACCTCGAAAATAAAAAAATTACCGAAAATCATTGAGAGTTACTGAAAACGAAGAGTTCACAAACTCTTAGAATTCTATTGCAATTGCCTGTATGTCTGTATGTAAATCTCGGTAAATATCAAATGTATACAATATTTTTCTATATGAAAGTTGTTTAACATTTTATTTCTCATAATAAGGCAGCATTCATTTGTTTTATTTCAGAAAACAAATGAGTAACGAAAAACAAGTGAATTTTTATAAATGACAGTGCACCTTTTCATTAGGCTTATTTCATAGAGATTTTTTTCTATGTTCGATAGAACCCTTATTCAAGAAAATTTTTCAACAGAATTTATTATAATTTCATATGAATCTTTATGAAAGTAGAATAGTTTTATAAATTCAAAAATTTACATTTTATAAAATTAAATGTTATTATTATTTTTAAATAAGTGTACTTTAAATGAATTTTTGAATTGATTGGAATTCGGCAAATAAAAGATTTCGTTGAAATGTTGATATGTTGGTAGAGTGCCAAATATTGAAGCAGCATTTCCTCTTTTGATGGCAATACTAATCCGTTGAAAAAGGAGACTGCTTGCACGGGTATCGTTTGAAGAATCAGAATTATAATTATAATTGGATCAATATAACATTAATCCAAATATCCTACATCAAAATAAAACAAATGAACGTGTACGTTTCTTATTAAACCTTGAAGACAAATCGAAATTAGTAGTTAAATGGTTTTCATCGCAATGAATGTTCAAAATGCCATTAAATGCAAGGCAGTGGCATAATCTATCACAAAAAGATTGCAATCAAAATTAATTTCCTCTGCACGGATGCTAACGTGATACGTCATTGAAAAGAGAAAAAAATCTCTATCAAATGAGCCTAACGAAAGTGTGCTTTGCTATTTAAAAAAATTCAATTGTTTTTCGTTATTCATTTGTTTTCTGAAATAAAACCAAAGGAATGCTGCCTTATTATGGGAAATAAAATGTTAAACAATTTTCATATAGAAAAATTTTGTATACAGTCGATTTTTACAGAGATGTATACTATATTCCATACATACCCTATATATAATTTCAAACAGTTCCAAGATTGGGCTACTAGTTCAAAAGTTACAGCCCTTTGAATTTTCTTTCGAAATTGGTTTCTAGTCTATAACTTTTGATTGAGAAGTCTGATCGAAAAAGTACGAATTGTTTTGGATTATTATCAAAGCTTTATAAACGAAATGACAAACAGAAGGAAATGTGAAGTTAAATTGTAATTTTTGGGAAAGACGCAAGATAATTTTGAATAATTAACATCCCAAATAATGATGGATCCACCAATACAGTACAATCATAACGTTTGTAAACACTGCGAAAAACTTATTCCTGTGTTTTGTATTCTTGGCACAATTTATTTATTTGAATTAATTAATTTAATTTTTCATCACTTTGCGGGAAATATGCATCCCCTTAGCCTCTGAATCCGAGTAAGTGAACGGTAAATTTGCCCTTTTAGGATCTGAATTTGCGTTTCCTATTTTCAGCATGACTTTTTCCAGCTTGTTGTAAATGTATAATATTGAAGAAACTAACGATTTTACCTCTACCTTTAGAGCTTAATCGCGATGTAGAACTCCCTTTGCGCAAGAGTTGGCAATACGGTAATACAAAAATATAAAATGTCAAATGGAATTCAATCAATTATAAAATTATAATATACAGGGTGTGGGTGTCCCGTGACTCGATGAACACCATATTCTTTGCTCAATTTTAAGTCCAAATTTCCTTATACATTTTGTCCAAGAGAAGTTATAAGCAATATTAAATTTAACAATGAATCAATCTAGTAGGCCATGTAATTGTTTTGTCATATTGTTATAGTGACATCGTTTATTCTTTGACGTTGTAACTTTAAAATTAAATTGATATGTCCCATTAGGGATTTTTCGATCAGGAACCCTCCGCTGATATTCCCTCACTGCCGTTCTTGCATTTCCATCACAGTATCCGTAAATAAAGCGAATATCAGCATATTCTTGGTCTGAAAACGTAGCAATATCTTAAAATTACAACGTCCAAGAATAAACAATGTCACCATAACAATATGACAAAACAATTTCATGGCCTACTAGATTGATTTATTGCTAAATTTAATATTGCCCATACAGGCCGGCCAAATGGGACCTACAACATTATTTATTGTAACGCGCCTATTTGATGAATATAAATTTAAAAGGTGACCGTCAGAACTAATTTTTTCCTGTAGACATACCTGGTGGTCTAGGAGGACGCGAAGTTTCTCTTTCCCAAGCAATGTAGGTATAATTCATCTAAAGTTGGTACTGCTATTTTTTTTTTGTTCGTTTTTGTATTGTATCCGACTACATTTGTGGGTAAACACGAGAACACTGAGCCATCCGATCGGGGGATCTTTTTTACTAGGTCGTTGGGTCACGGTACGCTTGGCCCAATCCAACACTGTTGGTGGCGGTTCTGATTATAGCAGATATCATGATCCTAACTGCCAAAATTCGAGAAATCCTCTGCATTCGTCGTAAATAAGTATATATAATTAAGGCGACCCTTGTTAACATAGGAAATACAAAATTGGGGTTTTCTAGCAAGATTAAATTTCAGCCACAAATTGCTACAAGCAAACATGAGAAGACTGCGTCATTTCACCGAAACGACCCGAATATATAAATAGTATATTTTTGGTGGCTTATGGAAGAGAGCTTAATTTGAATTTATATACCTACCGTATATGTCATCATACACTTATGCCAAAGACATATAGTAGTCATTGCTTTTTAGGGTGGTGCGTCGTAATCGTCTCTCCTACGTCGATGTAAACGCATTTCAACATCTAACAAAACTGATTGAACTGTAAGTACGACAAAATTTAATCGGCGTCTAATTAAAATCAATTTCAAATTTTCAGCGATTTAAGTTACAATCAACTAACGGAGATTCAAAAGGAAATGCTAGAGCCGTTAATTAAACTTCAAATCTTGTAAGTATATTCGTCTTACAGTGTTTTAATAATCGAGATTAAAGCTGCGCCGTTTTATGTTACTCGTAATTCTTACCTCTAGACAACTCTTTACTTTTAGTATTGACGATGGATATCCGATCCTGCACCCTTTGTAGAGTCCAGATTCAATGGAATCAATTTCTATATTTCATGCTCTTTTATTTACTACAGTCCCTCTCGTATTTCTTAGTATTACCTTTCATTCCTTGTACGTCAATTTCGTTAATGCAAATATGCTTTATTCCTTCGCAGATATTTAAGCGCGAATAGAATAGCAAAAATTGACGAGAACACTTTCCCTCCGATGTCTTTGGCCACCCTTTCATTGGCGGAAAACGAACTGGAAGCTCTACAGGCAGGGACATTTCGTTCGGCGACCACACTAAAAAATCTGTAAGTAGATCTCTTTCATATTAAATGTTGACGTGATTGTCATTTTTAATGTCCCGTTCTCGTATAACCGGCAACGCTTGATTAGCGCATTAATACTTTATTGGGTTTCAATTTACTTCGCCAGTTAATCGAAGCTATTTTTATAGTGAACTTTATGAATTCAGTTGCTTTGTCTAGATCATGCGGCATGAATGGATTAGACCGTAGAAAATGCAATTTTACGAATGAACCCCTTGATGCATATGAAAATTTGAATAGTAATTTAGTCTTTCGTAACGATAGCATCTTCTGCGCTATAAGCAACTCGCGGTTTTAGGCGTCATATCAATTAACAAAGATGTACTACTAAGAGTATACAACATCAATTGGGTGTTGCAGGTATACGCTACCACCGAAAGAAGTCCGGAAGGGCGGTTGAAAACCTCAATTAATGGGTATTTTTTCCTGTTAGTGATGCAGCGTAATCGCTAATGTGTGTCCTTTGGCTTAGGATACACACACGTTATGGATAAATTTGGCGGAGGATTAATGTGTTTGCAAAATTGGTGTTATCCCAAAGCTGTTGGGCTTTTACTGTAAATCCATATCGACACTTAATTACTTAGGCAAATTGAGTAGGGAACAACGCTCCTACTTTGGTAATGGCTTCGTTCCAGAGCCAGACCAACGCGGGCCCACATTTGTTGTATCGTTATCGACAAACAATTAACGGCGAATTTAGTCCAGTTTTCGGCGCAATCGCGATTTTTGCAGTATACAGGGTAAAAGATCGCAAAATGATAAAACCGAAGGATCTAAGCTTTCCCCCGCTGTTGTAGCGAGATAAACATAAAACATGTGGATTTGAACCTAACCAAAAGACGCTGATACACGATTTTTTTCACGTTTTTTTTTCTTTGTGTCACCTCTTACTCGCTTAGCGTATCTTCTTATTTCAGATTCCTATCGGATAATGGAATCCATTTTCTTTCTAAGGGAACCTTTCGCAATTTGGATAATCTGGTATCACTGTAAGTACCTAATTCGTTTATTTATTACAGGGTGGTAGTGATTCTAACGTACCTATATATTAATAAGAACATTTTTTCGGCTGCCTCGAGTTTAACTTAAACCAGAAAAATCACGTTTAAAAATACACATTTTCAGAACTTCATCATAATTGCGAGCACTTCCTTGAGCCCTTCATACTTGTAGAGAATACCGACTACTTGTAACCCCTAATTCTCTTCTCATTCTCTGTGCCTCTATAATTAGTTATCTAAACGATTAGAATTCGAATTTCTGATCCCTAATCTCAGTCACATTACAACCTAAGTATACCTTGTATGCGTTTATCAACATTTCAAATCACCGTGCCAGAGATTTTAGTTAAATAGCATCGAGGGGGGTAATTTTGACGCATTGACCACCGATCTAGTTCAATAACTACCTAATCGATTTATTATGATATGAGAATACTCTTCTCTGGCTATATATATGTTCGGTAAATTTTTAACTATGTACACTGTACGTTTTCAAAAATCGGTTTAGTTGCTTTAACTTTAATTGTAGCCAGCAGATCGTCAATTACTCCCTCCTACATATTTGTTTCTACATCTCAAAGTCAGGTCAAGAAGAGATTGTTTTTCAGTCAATCCGCAATAAGTCACATTTCGGACAAATTATCTTTATAACTTCATTAAAAACGATTTTGTTGCACTAATTTGTCTGATCGTCAGTTACTCCTCAATTTTATTGTGTTGTTGAATTATTTTAAAGATAGGTATTAACATAACCGTAGCTGGTCATTCTGTGCCACTTTTGACAGTGTCGCGTGAAAAAAAGCCTTAAGCCCCCCCCCCCCGCATTATTTCCCGAGAAGGCCGAGATACTGTTCCTCAAAAGTAAAACGTGCATCAATTTTACATGCGACAACCAATTTCTCTCAAAAGATGGGCAGACATTTCTACAATGACTAAAATTTCATGGTGCATCGATGTCTATCGGGAGATCTGGAATATTCCCTACAGTATAATACAGTGTGCTCAGCACAGGTCAATATTAGAACGTCATCATTTTTATTCAATATAACAGATTCCCTCCTATTATTATGTTCTCCCTCGGTTCTCCCTCAAAATGTTCACTCCTAAACAGAACACTCTTGTGATAATTCTTCATGAAGAACTATGCAATGCAGTCCTTTTTTCATGACGAATATTTCTTACCCCACAGGTTCCTAGTGTTAAGTTCTATAGTCCCTTGCCAAAAATTATGGTGTAAGTGATAAGAGCACTAAACCCTTTAGGGGAAATTATTATGTAAACGTTATGAAGGAAAACGTAGCACAGGGGGGTCTAGAGGATATGGAATACCCCCCTCCCCCCAGTACCTATACCGCGACATTATGGTAGTCAAGCGACATTATGGTAATCAAGCGTGAATCCAGCTTCTACAGATGGGGGAGTGGCATTCAGTTAAATTACTACTATATTTACGTAAATTAGCACTGCGCGGGGGAGGGGGGGGGTTAAAACGGTTTAATGCCCTTAGCACTTACACTATAAGTCTTCACAATGAACTATTCGGTATATTTGTCATGAAAGGAAAATTAAATCCTTTATGAAAGTGCACAAAAGTTGCGTGTTGAGGGAGACCGTATAATTTCTTTACAATTATCATAAAATATTCGTATTTTAGGGGGTATTCTGCCACTTTTAGATTTTTCTCCAAAACGATGTAACGATGTTAAGGGCACTAAACGTTTTGGGGAAGGATGTAGAACGTGAGGATCTAGGGTATTGGAATTTGTGCTTTTAGATCTTACGATATATGTAGGGAAATAAACTACCTACTTGCAGCACATAATTAATTTGTAACACTTGTTTACTTTCTGGCATTCTTTTGTTTTTTATTATCACAGCCTACTCCGGTTATATAAACATGTAATTAATTAATGGGTAGCTCCTTTTGTGAAAAATATTGAATTGCTACGGGGTTTAAGCACAGGACACCCCTTATAAAAATTGAAGACACAAAAGACAATCGAATAGCAAAATAAATACTGGTAGTTCTATTTGAAAAAGAATAGTTATGGCACTTTGAAGTTTGGAAATTTTACCATTTCCTTGTGAACACCCTGTATCATTAAATTCAATGTTCTCATTATTAAAGGGTTGCCCTTTACTCCGATTAACAGCATTGATCAAATGTATTTCATAACTTCAAAATCAAGGTGACTACGATTCATCAAAGTGAGACTTGCTTATAGATTCAGATAAAAATTAACAAAATGGCAACGTTGACAAAAAACCAAAAAGTGAATAGGTTTTCATGTAAAAGTTAACAAATGGCATTGAAACAAGTAAAAATATACAGGATATTCTATTTTAAAAAATCAGTTATTTATTGACACACTGCACATTCTAAAATAATTCTATAGATGGTTGCCATCTATAGTTGACATTTGCACAAAAGATTTTTTTAAATTTTTTACCAGGTATGAGCTAGGAAAGACGGACGCACTGTTGCAGGACCCTGTATAATGTATATAACCAAATGCTATAATATTGAATCGGAAATTTTTACTGGCTCTTTAAAAACTGGACAATTTTGTAAATTGTAACTTTTGGTTCTTCCGTCTCAATAGGTTGCGGACCCCTGTTTTACACCCATACTGGGAGGTAGGTAGGCCAACAAAATCCCCAGTGAGATAAACGGATGCGACGACTATGTTAGTGTCATCTTGATCTCGAAACTTCCCACGGTAAATATTTAAATGGTCGACATTTTGAAAAAAAAAGAAATCAGTGGTTATTTTTTTTACTTTCATTCAAATAACAGTTAAACCTCTCGCCAGGAAAGATTGCCGGTCACAGAACACTTGATCCCGATCTACAATCTATGTTTTTCTCAAGATGGCAGCGACTTTCGGGATAGTACCTACCCTGTTAATGTTGAACAAAAAGTCTTTTCGTTCAACATTGGCACGATCCTATTTCTGAAGTCGCTCGCGTCTTCAGAAAAACATAGATTGTAGATCGACACAAGGTGTGCTGTGACCTGCAATCTTTCCTGGCGAGAGTTATATAAATATTTTTTAATGAAAAATACAAAATTCAGCCGCCATCTTGACTTTTGATTGATTTCCTGGACCGGGATTAGTGAGGATTTCGAACATGTTAAATTGGACACTTTTCATAACAAAATGCAAAAAGAATCATTTGTGTTGCAATTTTGCCCTGGTCAAGGGAATTTTTACACAAAGAGTAGGTACTTATATTATAACGTACTCTAATTATTTGGAAATTCAGGTTAAAAAATGCGCTATATTTTTGTTTTTTCTACATAACAAGAGAATGAAACTACTATGAATACTACATTAAATATGCAGGTATAAACTTATTGATTTAGTTATACAGGGTGTAGAAAGGGTTTATGCACCATAGGGATTTCAAACCCAATTTCTTAATATCGAAATATTTTCTTCCCTAATAAATATAAATGGTGACATGAGCAGACGCAGAATTTTCAAGCTATAAGAAACCTATTTATAACTTTGCTCTAAATTAATTAGGAGAGAAAATATTTCGATGTAAATTAGTATGTACAGAAAATGAGGAAATTTAATTTTTCTGAGACACAACTACTTTCGTCTCTAAAAAGGGTGAAGAAAATGTCATTTTCCTCTCTAGTAGTGAGGAAAGTAAAAAACAATTGCTGCGTTAATCCTAATAATGACATTTAAAATTGAAACATAGCTAAATCTAGATTGCTATGTGTCAAACTTCATTATTGCATACGATAATTTTTCAATTTTGATTGTAGTTTCACAAAAAATTATACAGCGTGGCAAGTTGACGGCGAGACATAGGGAAATAACATGGGAAAATACATTTTTGCACTCCTTCGTTCTAAATCGCGTTTTCCCAATAAAACACGAATGTCGGGAACGTCAATTTTACAATTGAATATTTACTTTCGCGCACTAGTGTCTAAAAATTCAACGAAATTAACTATTTAGTGCGGATAATAAACTAATAAGTAGTATGATGGAAGAGTAAAAAAGAAAATATAAATACACTTTACATCATTCCCTTTAGTACACGGGCAAAAAAAAGCTTAAACCAGAAGTTTGGAACAATAAATTGACATTTTAAATTTCTAAATTTCTACTTTATCGGCATAGAGGACTTGATTTTTTCAAAAGAATTATAATATCGCAAAAATCTCGCGAAAAGGATTTGAATTTATATAAATTCGATTAAACTAATCCGTGCAAAAAATAGAATACATGTTACGTGCGTGAAAAGTATTTGCTTGATTCGCGCGAGATGCGTCGCTCGTGCGCGTTGCGCACTCGAGCCACCAAACTTCGCGCTCATCTGCAAAATAACTGTTCCCGCACTAATAATGTAAATAACTATTTCGGCAATTCCTGCTCCCCATTTAAACCTAAAGAAAAAATAAAAACACCCTCGGATAGTTAATTAAAATCGACATTAGATGTCACCAAAAAAGTGCGCCTAAGCCATTTTTCAAAAGTATAAAAGTTAAATAAATAAATCCAAAAAGGTAGTAAAAAATTGGTTGGCCATGATTTACCTACCGCATTTGTCACCTAATTCTTTGATTTAACTGTCATCTGTAATAAACACGCCAACATGAATAATTACACTACAGAAGAAATTATTGTAAAGTCGTTTTATACTGGGGAATAATACACGGCGAAGTTCGTGATTTATTTTCAGTTAAGTTTGATGACAGGCCAATCTTTTATAGTGTAATTATTTCACCCTTTCGTGGTTGAAGTGAGATGATAGTCAAAGGAACGATTTGTTGTACTATGCGATCAAAAATGAGTTGCTGTCGAGTCACCTTTGGAACTTTTGTTTACATGATGGGAAATCGTATTTGAATTAAACTTCCAAAGCCGACTTGACAGCAAATCATTTTTGATCGCCCGGTAGTAGGTACCTAGCAAGTGCGACACGTCACTCCATGGCCAACCATCTTTTAGGATGTTTAATTTAATTTTCCTGTAGGATGAAATGGGGAGCAGGAATTGCCGAAAATGTATTTTCCCATGTTATTTCCCTATATGTCCCGCCGTTGGCGTGCCACACTGTATGAAAAACTTGAGAAGAAAGTGTTTTTCAACTCTCTTTGAACTCGAGTTGAAAAACTCCACTCTCTAGTTATAGGTACTTTCATCATTATGTTGAGATTCGAAGGTTTCATCTTCTTCAAATAGTGGGTGCATATCGCAGTCACTTTTATGCATACAGGGGAGAAATGGGAGCCACTTTTTCTGCAGTCACACGCTGCTTCGCATTCAGTTTTGCAAGAGCAAACTTTTTAAAACATTACTGGATGGTGCAGGTTGCGTCATTTTAATGTGTTTTAAATAATTTTCCTTTTTCCAAGACTATTTTTCAAGTGGTATTATAAAATTATACTGATGAATTATTGTGGAAAAAATCACACAACACTAATTTTTAGCATAAATATTGTTTATACCATATAAATAATTATTTGCCCCTTCTAAAAGGTTTCTGATTTTAACCAATACAAAAAACCAACAATTTTTTTTTAAATCATAAAAATTGGAACCGTTACGAAGAAAACCCTTCATAGACGCGACTATCAGGTGGTTCTTTATTCAATTGGCAATTAATGCATGAACTCTCACAGTTTAGTTGGGATATTTTAGATTGTTGTGCTACGAGTGTGCCCTAAAATAATTTTCGCTTTACAGTAACTTGCAAGGGAATGGCATCAAGCACATGGACGTGGAAGTCTTCGAAGATGTGCACAACTTGACATCACTGTAAGTGTTACGATTGGAAAACTCTTGATCCAAGTAACCTTTTGCAGATACCTGGGCAATAACGCCTTCAGGAAGCTACCAAAGAACCTGCTGCATCCTCTCACCAAGCTTCAGTATATGCAAGTATCATCGTTTACCTCCCGCACCCGTTACCAAAACGTGTACTTTCAGCTATTTCGACCGTTTCGAAATGTGTCTTGCCGCAACCCACGTGCGAGTCTGCGAACCGAAAGGTGACGGAATCTCCAGCCAGGAGCATCTCTTGGACAATCCCATTCTACGGACAAGGTAAATTGGGAGAAAGGGGAGACGTAACATTTAGGTATACTTGTAGTGTCTGGATCATGGGCGCGGTCGGTTGCTCGGGCAACATAATCGTACTGCTGGGTAGGCTAATTGCGCCCGCTAATAACGTGGTGCATTCGCTGTACATTCGAAATTTGGCGTTGAGCGATCTGCTAATGGGTATTTACTTGTTTGTAATCGCAACTGCGGACTACTACTATCGAGGGATGTACTTGCAGTACGAGTCCGATTGGAGGCATAGTGCTCTGTGCAACCTTTGCGGTGAGTTATCCCAATTTGATTTCAACTATTCCCAAGTAATTTTTAGGATTTCTAAGTACGTTATCGTGCGAATCGTCGGTTTTGATCTTATCGTTAGTAACATGGGATAGGTTTATATCGGTCACGCAACCTTTAGCCAGAAAGCAACCCTCGGCAAAGGCCGCGTTTTTAACGCTTACCTTTCTATGGATTATTGCCATCACAGTGGCGGCGGCCCCGTTAACCACAATAGCCGATCAGTACTTTGGTGACGAATTCTATGGCAGTAATGGGGTGTGCTTATCTCTGCACATACACGACCCTTACGATAAGGTAACCGACCTTTCTAAGATCATTACCATCTGTAATTTACAGGGATGGGAATACTCGGCAGCGATGTTCGTATTTGTAAATACAATTGCACTTATCTTCATTTGCTACGCTTATTGTCGCATGATACAAGAGATACGCGCTAGTAGCGTAGCATGCCGATCCACCAGGCAAAGCCAAGATCGTGACAAAGTTGCTCAAAGATTCGGAGTTATCATTCTTACTGACTGCCTGTGTTGGGTTCCAGTGATTTGCGTCAAACTGGCAGCACTATCAGGTAAGCATTCCCTCTAAAACCAACCCTAAACTAATTACTTTCAGGATGTGCAATATCCGAAGCCTTGTATGCTTGGTTGGCCATACTCGTTCTGCCTATTAATTCAGCCCTCAACCCCGTACTATACACGTTAACAACAACAGTATTCATCAAACAGGTACTTTGCCAGCGCAATTATAAAATTTCATTGAATTGAATTGCAGATACAGAAAATCATTAATTCGCGAGTGTTTAAAAGAAAACGTTCCGATCAACAGAACTCGGACACAGCTCACAGCTCGTCATTTTTACCCAGAGGTAACGGATCAAAGCGCTCAATTTTTAGACGGGTATGATTGACAGTTGTTATACTTTAATTGGGGTGTGTAATTATTCGTTTTAGGGAAACCAAGGGAGTATAAATACCATACGAACGAGCTTAAAACAGTCGACTGCCGTTTAAATATAAACAATTGTTCTCAATGTTAGTTTTTTGTTTTAAGGCTACCTGTGATATACATACCTACATGTTTTGGTAAAAAAAATAAAGTCATCGTATTTATGTCACTTACCCCGAAGCTATAGTGTCGCCTGGAAGGACCTTTATATTTTTTTTCCAAGCTTTTTTTCATTCCGCGATTTTCTTAACCCGGCAGCTCATTATCCTCGCCAGTGTCCGCAATACTGGAATCGGTGGAAGATTCCATAGGATCATAACTAGAACTGGATGTTTCTGAACTCGATCCGCTAGTAATTTTCTTTGTTTCAAGTGGCAATAAATCGGCCTATTGTAGTTCTAAAATTCTAGTTAAAGTGGTGCTATATCCATTTTCTTCGGTATAAGCCAAATTAGCTGGAGTAAAACAAGATCGGAATCTGAAATTTATTTTAAAAGAAGAGTTATTTACTAAATTATATTATTTATTCTTCATGATCATTGCTTACTTGTTTAGAAGACATTCTTGATTATAGGTTGCTTTTATAGTCTCGCTTGTAGTAAATCATCATCCATGTTATCCAGTGATTCAATTCGTAATTTATTTTCTGGCGAAAATTCCCATTATAATTATAGTTATGTATACGTTGCCTGTAGGTATGTTTTTTTACCGAATCCAAAATATTATTATCTATAATGGATTCCTCTAAAGTATCCTGTATATTATTGTCTATAATAGATTCTTCTAAATTATCTATACGAGTTTCTGCCTGAAATAATGCCAAAATTATAAAATGAAACACTATTTAATATGCTGTCGAGTCACCCTTGGAATTTGTGTGAACTTCCAAAGGCGACTCGGCAGTAATTCTTTTTTGATCGCCCGTTATTATCTTTGCCTCTAAAATTTCTGCAGCATCTTCAATATTTTGTTTTGCAGTACCCTTTAGGCCTCATTCGCTGTTTCCTGACTCGACCTTTTAACTTGCAATTACAGCAATGAGACCTAATTAGTTTGAGTTATTTCACTGCAAAACTAAATGTTAACATCCACAACATTGAATAGAACACCACTTGACACAGCAACACTGTCATAAGTGGAAGAATATTACAAACTTTTTTATTTTTATTTTTTTTTTTTATGATATGACATTTTTGGACTTGACAGTGTTGCTACCCATGTGCGATATTTCTCCCGAAAGCCCACCAGCCCATTTTTAACTTCTACCATCAGATTTAGGTATCCAATAGAAACCAAATTCGAAAGAAAATTGAAAGGGCTGTAACTTTTGAACTAGTAGCCCAATCTTGGAACTGTTTGAAATTATGGATTCTACAGGCTACGTTCTATAAGAAAAATTTTTTTCCGGGACGATCTGAGACAATTCCTTCTTTCGGGGGAAAAAAAAGGCAGTGTATTACCTTCCTTTTTTCCAAAAATCGACTCCACTAAAATTTCTCGGGAAAACCCCTTTTTCTTATTAATTTTGGTGCGTAGAAACCAAAACAATTCGTACTTTTTCGATCAGACTTCTCAATCAAAAGTTATAGACTAGAAACCAATTTCGAAAGAAAATTCAAAGGGCTGTAACTTTTGAACTAGTAGCCCAATCTTGAAACTGTTTGAAATTATGGATTCTACAGGCCACATTCTATAAGAAATTTTTTTTCCGGGTCGATCTGAGACAATTTCTTCTTCGGGCTTCAAAAAAAGGCAGTGTATAACCTTCCTTTTTTACCAAAAATCGACTGCACCAAAATTTCTCGGGAAAACACTTTTTCTTATTAATTTTGGTGCGTAGAATCCAAAACAATTCGTATTTTTTCGATCAGACTTCTCAATCAAAAGTTATAGACTAGAAACCAATTTCGAAAAAAAATTCAAAGGGCTGTAACTTTTGAACTAGTAGCCCAATCTTGGAACTGTTTGAAAATATGGATTCTACAGGCCACATTCCATAAGAAAATTTTTTTCCGGGTCGATCTGAGACAATTTTTTTTTCGGGGCTCAAAAAAAGGCAGTGTATAACCTTCCTTTTTTATCAAAAATCGACTGCACCAAAATTTCTCGGGAAAACACTTTTTCTTATTAATTTTGGTGCGTAGAATCCAAAACAATTCGTACTTTTTCGATCAAACTTCTCGATCAAAATTTATAGACTAGAAACCAATTTCGAAATAAAATTCAAAGGGCTGTAACTTTTGAACTAGTAGCCCAATCTTGGAACTGTTTGAAATTATGGATTCTACAGGCCACATTCTATAAGAAAAATTTTTTCCCGGGTCGATCTGAGACAATTTTTTTTTCGGGGCTCAAAAAAAGGCAGTGTATAACCTTCCTTTTTTACCAAAAATCGACTGCACCAAAATTTCTCGGAAAAACACTTTTTCTTATTAATTTTGGTGCGTAGAATCCAAAACAATTCGTACTTTTTCGATCAGACTTCTCAATCAAAAGTTATAGACTAGAAATATCCATACATGCACTTGATTTATTTATTTATTTATTGTCCCTCTTGTTCTAGGCTCTCAACAGGATTACGCCCAGTTACAGAGTGACCCGCATAATGCCTTTTAGAGGTGCCCCTGCTGAAGATCTTAAGTTGATATTTGGAGAATAATGAACGAGTTTGTACTGAGAGTAGTGACTAGTGACAAATACACGACATAACATAACGGGTGATCAAAAATGAGTTGCCGTCGAGTCGCCTTTGGAAGTTCAATTTCCTATGTAAACAAAAATTCCAAAGGTAACTCGACAGCAACTCATTTTTGATCGCATAGTATAAGTATGTAAAAAGTTGCATGAAAAAGTCCTCTACAGTGAGTTAAATAAAGCAGGAACTCAAAAGGTTTCGTACGAGTCCTCAAAAGTCTTAAAACGTAACGTAAAAAGTAACGGTTTTAGTTTCTGTGCATCTCCAATGCGATTTTATGGAGTTGTGCTTGTGATAGCTACCTTAAAAGATAATTTATTTGTACAAAAAGTGTATTGTATCAAACAATCAGTAAGGGAATTTATTTTATTGTAAAAGACGTGTCCATCGCACCTCAAATTTATCATTGAACACTTGGTTATTATTACATAGGTACTATACTTATACAGATTCGGTTAAATTGACAAAGTTCTGGTAGTTTATTTTGATGCCGATGGATATTCCGATGCGATATTTTGAAAAATATAAATCGCTTCGTACATAATTGCAAAAAAAGTGAAAATCGCCATTTTTAAAAAGTTCAAATAGGAATTTTTTTTAATGGACGCCGTATTAGATTTGTTCTCTTTCCAACCGTTTACCATACAATTATAACAAATATATCGCACCGGAATATCCATCAACATCAAAAACTACACAACTTTGCTCATTTAACCGAATCTGTAAGTACCTACCTATTATAATAACAAAGATAGCAATGTTATTCTACTTAATTTAAGCCACTCTGTATATCCCTCCCGATTTCAAGTGCTGGTTAAAAACCACGAACATTCATCAGGAAAACAATACGAACAAATTATTTTCTTTTTCCTAATCATGAAGCTAGTTTTACAACCCCTCAGAGTCCTAACTCTATTAAGTGGACAGGGGTGGTCATGGTCAGCTCCTGGGGCATCCCACAATCCTAAGTACTGGTGTCGGTAAAGTTCAATTTCTAGAAACTCTACTCCTGTATCAGCAAAATCAGAAGTTGTCAAAAAATCGCCTGTATCGCACGCCTCAGGAGTGAACGTACGTGAAAAGCACGGATCGGACTTTACGGATTAAAGCCATGGTAGCAATCGCCCGCCAGGGATGCTTGGCTTCGCCACAGAAAATTGTGACTACTAAGCCCCACCACCACGACAAGGTGCATCCCATGGTGGGGTACGAGTGTGCAGTTTGAATTACCCTAAAATAGTTCGTTTTTTGTCACATTTTATGTTTTTGCTATGTCTGTATATGTCTCAGGCACGTGTACTGCTGACCTGAAGGCTTCAAGAACATCATGATCCGGTTTTCGGAAACGCGAAGGGGGGGGGGGGGTTACAGAAAATTCAGCCCAAAGTTCAGTCCAGAAATTTTATTTGGTATTAAGGTGCTTGACGAAATATCCTTATACGAGTTTAAATCTACCATTTTTCTTTCACAGAATTGTATTTAGATTTTCTGCCGGGCTAATTTACCATTATCAGAATCGTCGGAAATTACCTTTGGCATGTTTATTAATATTATTAACTTACATAATTGTTTATTTATTAAAAATGAATAAACAAAGCATACAAAGTAAATTCGGTAATTAAAAAAAGTGATGACCCCGACGTGATTTGAACACGCAACCTTCTGATCTGGAGTCAGACGCGCTACCGTTGCGCCACGGAGTCGGTTGACGATTTAAGTTCCAATACAAGTAAACAACAAAAATAAAGTTTGTTATATATTTTCATAAAATTCATTTGTATGTGTAATAATAAATATTAATTTCTCCTATCAACCATTACAAACACTTAGCAATAGACTCGCTTAGATTCTTCAAACGTTGAGAAACATCCTCCGCCCTTCTAGCGACGCACGCTTCAACCCCCTTTTCCAACGCTTTAAGAATGGATCGGCTAGAACTAGAAAACGTTTCGACCTCGTCGGACAGTTGTGTTAATGTTGCAAGACATTCATCTTCCTTGGCCACATTACAACCCTTACAAGCGTCTTGTGCGCTTCTCTCAAAATTATCAATCGTCTCATACCCTTTCGAAACTAGGGTCGAATTGTAACAATAATCGAACGGACTATCGCCCAACTTTTCCAACTCGCTCTCGTAGCTCTCCTTGCAGGTGCCCGCTCTTGTCTTTGCCATTTTCTCGTTCAAGTCGAACAATTTCGACTGGAATTCGCCGTAGACACCATCAAAAATGTACTGTAAATTACAGTCGAACGAGTTCACCGAGTACTTGTAGTCTTTTAATGCGGTCTTAAGGCGATTCGTCACCTGGCGAGATAGTTTCTCACACTTGCTGACTTTTTTGTACAACGAAGTGCCATGAAGGAACTAAAAAATACCGATCAAAGATGTCGTTCAAACAGAAATTGAAGTACTCACATGGGACGTACAGACGATTATTAGTAAAATTACGAGGAAACGTGGAATCATCCTGGTTCTTCCAAATTACCCAGGCCCAGTACTGACGCTTCCAGTTAATCAGTCGATAACAGAGAGATAACCTTCGGTTTGGTGTTTATATTTAGCTGCGCTTGTACGTTGTATGCGTTTAAAAGAACTTGAAATGATTCGTTGCAATGCAAACTTTTCCCGTTTGGCATGTGCATGTGCATGCGCGCACTTTGGTGACCTTTTTACCGTACCTAATAAGAGTTCAATTACATTAATTTGTTTAAATAAGGTAGGATAGGATAGGTCATCTGCGCTAGCATCATCGGTTGTTTTTAAAAGTTGTGACCTCTAGAAGAATATTGACGGTTTTTTGCGGTAATTTTTGAAAATGGATGCAGTTTGTAACATAGTTTCGTTAGCCATTTTTACGTAAAACTATATTCATTTCCAATTCAAGTAAATTTAATGAATTTCCTGCTAGCGAAAATGTAATGGTTTTATATGTAATAAAATTGAATGGCGATCAGCGGTACAGATCCCATCAGAGCGCTGCGGCCGATTTCGCTTCTTATAGACAAGAAAAAACTGATGGAAAAAGTAACTACTGGCCGAGAGATCGAAATTGTATAGCATAGAATTATCGACATCTACTGAATATCAATAACGACCTGGGAAAGAGGCATACGGAGAACCATACGGATTTTAGCGACTTTTGGATGCACAAAATGCCTTCAATTCTCTCCCCACAATAATGATAATAAAATCAAATAATAAAATATCAAACAAGACGAAACGCCTACAAATTAGTAATAAACACGAGAACATGCTACAGCGGCGGTGAAGGAAGTCCAGAAATAGTTGGCGAATTGATTCTGGATGAGCAAAAGAACTAAAACCGCCTTAAAGTCGGGAAGGAATCAGGTTACTGTTGCAGTACCTTCGTGGAAGGACAACGAGTGCCACTGGAGAGAAGTACGCTATGATAACATATTCGATCGTAGTCTACCCTACATATATGGACATAGAGTAAATAAATTTTACTCTATGATATGGAACACACGAGAAATACCGCAGGAAAGGCTAGCAGAGTGGCAGATCAAATTTACAGGCTAATGTAAAACTGTAGTGGTCCACGGGGGATCAAGAGCAGAGTGCTACTGGCCGTAGAGGCAGATATAACCAAACCAGAGACACATTCAGTAGGGGGGAATGGGAGCGATATAGTGGTCCTGACAGATTGATAGAAAATGAGCAGAATTGGTAAATAATTTCAGACCTAATTCGCAAATTATAAATGGGTACACGCGAAATGGAAGCCAGATCAGCTGATAGCTATAATGATCCAAGGAAGAATGCTCTGATGGTGATAGACGTACGTACCTACTCGGTGGTGTTTTCGACAAATGGGACATGGGGTTTAATATGAGTGTGAGTGCAAGCCCCAAATCCCTGCATTGTAGACGGTCCAAGACGGAAAGGTGCCACAGGCATTATATTTGTACGCAAAAAAGCGACTTCTAAAGAGAAAGGAACAAATCAGAAAAAATTTGTCGACTGTTGGTGTAGCTGGTACACATGCCTCAATTCTGTAAAAAAAAATAAACTCCGAAATCAACGAGAAAATAAAATTTCTTAGATTTTCCAAAACGTCCAAACCACATCAAAATTTATAGAGAAGAAACTGATTTCCAAAAAAGAAAGAAAAAGGAGAATTAACTTTTGATGTGATGGTACAAATCTTGAAAATTTTCGCGGTCTGTGATTCTACCGACAAGATAAGTTACTTATACAAATTTTTCCCCTTTAATTTGGCTATATACATATAGATTTTAGATGTTAGTTTAGTACCTAGAAAAAATTTTTATAAAAATGATCATAATTACCTACATTAATATCATTAATCTAGATACCTACACCTAAATAAAACAAATGAACGTGTACATTTTCGGTTTCTTATGAAACCTATAAGACAAAACGAAATTAGCAAAAGTGCTCTAGCCATTTCTCCCAGAATACTCAGACAGTCAGACATTCATTCAAGCTTTTTGTGACCGGTTAGGACAATGCCTTGCGGCCAATGGCGAATGTTTTGAACATTTATCATTGCGATGCAAATTGCTAATTTCTTTTGTCTTCATCTACATCAATGTTAATGATTTAATTATCTTTTTTTCAAAAATTGTCTTGCATAATGGTACTTAACATGTTACGTCCTCAAAAAGAGTAAAAATCTCTATCAAGCACATTGCTATTTAAAAAAATGTAATAGTTTTTTGTTACTCATTTGTTTTCAGAAATAAAAACAACTGAAGGCTACCTTATTATGGCGAAACAAACAACTTTTATACAGCAAGACTTTGCATAGTCGTTCTTTACATAGATATATATTTCATACATAATGCGCACCCTATATAATAATAATGGGTTTCTTCCGGTACTGTAATGAAATACTACCACTACTGGCAGGTCTTTTAAAGAGTTTTATTTGAAAACTACATGACAAGATCAGTAAATAACAATTAAATTACAAATACAATATATCGTAATGGCCAGGACGGTAAAGTAAATGAACACTAGGAGCGGTACCTTCGGGCAGATCGTGCTCAATGTTTGATTTACTACTACCACGGTCCATATACACCACACGTACACCCGTCTCTAAAGCAGCACAAGCAGCCATGATGTGAATGTGATCACTCTCTTTGTACATCGGCTCGACTTCCTGATGGCAGAAATCCACCACCTGCAGTACAAAATTAACAGATTACAGTCGTAATTGAAAGTACACAGACCGTTCGTCCGCCTTCAATAAAGCAGCTGTAAAATTCTTGATCTCTCTGTAGATGTCCACTGGTTAGCAAACGTAAATACACAACCATGTAATCCGAATAGCCCTGCTCGTTGAAAAGCGTATGCAGTTCCTTTTTGGCGTCGTTAACGTTTTTTATATCCCGTACCCGCTTAAGTACATCCATAAACTGCAACATTTACACGTAAATTAAAACGTCCAGTGTCCTGCAGGAGCATTACGGTTTCGTAAAAGTCGTCGACGGTGAATTCGGGAAACCCCAAACGCAGAAGGCCCATTTTGCTACATTCGATTAATTTGATGAACTGTTCGAGCTCGTTCGAATTCTCCAACATTTGTTCTATCATCGCGTAGGTAAACGCACGAAAAAAGCAATTACCGTCCGGCCTAGTCCTACGTATATGCTTATACTTGGAGGACAAGTCTTTAATCTTCTCTAAGTAGACGTTGTCGTTGGAGTATTCGCTATTTAACGACACTATCGGTTCTAACTCTCCTACTAGTGCAGTCGATTCTGAAATCTTAACCGGGATTAAGGTACAACCCGAGGTAATTGGGGAACATACTTCACGTTCAATTTGGCGTTGCTGTTGCATTATTAATTCGTCCTGGTTGCCGGTACCGATGACTGGTTCGCTTTCCTGTTCGTCTCCCATTTTTATTTTGGAAAAGAAATTGAAAAACAGTTGTTTTGTAAGGGTTTGTTTTGACAATTGCCGGCGTTTCAATCGTAGTTTTCGTTGGATATAATTTTCGTTGGGTATAATAAAAAGAAATTCATACAAACAATGGGACCTCTGGTGGTAGCACATTGTAGTTACTATTGGTGGGTTAAAACCGCCATTTTGTTTTTTACAATGCCCAAAAGTAATCAATATTGTAGTTTTTACAGCTGTAAAAGTAAATACACTTACAAAAATTTCATTTGCAATCAATGTAATTGCACCTTAAAGAGCAAGAATAGTTGAAGTCACATTTTATCACGTTACTTGAAGAATTTTAAATGTGATCAGTGCAATTTTGTAACCAACGCAATAACATAATTAGAGAAAACCCAATGTGTGCACTTCTGCAGACTACGAACTCCGCACTATGATCCGCTACTTTACCTGGACGAACAATCCTATCCGATGTACTGAAACTGCCAAATTCTTGGGGCTTACGTTTGACAAGCACTGAGATGGATCTCACATCGAACAATTAAAAACGAAGTGTATCAGGCGTCTCGATGTGTTAAAAGTATTGGCACATACTAAATGGGGAGCGGAGTAAAATGTCTCATCACGATCTATAGGGCATTGATACTGTCCAAATTGACTATGGGTGCGTGCGTATTCGTCCGCACGAAAAATCGCTGCTTGCAACGCTAGACTGTGTGCACAACGCTGCCATAAGATACTGCATAGGGGCGTTTCCTACAAGTCCAGTGGACAGTCTGTATTGTGAATCGGGGAGTTCCTCCCCTAGACATTAGGAGAAAGCAGTTAATGGCTAACTATATCATAAAGATCAAGTCATTACCGGATCATCCAAATAATGTGCTGTTTAACGTTGACTTGACCTATATCGCACACGTCCGACCATCACGCGCCCTTCTTATGTGCGGTTTTGCGAACATCTTGAATGGCGGAATATAACTCTGCCTATACTGCTAGAAGAAAATATGCTAGAATTTGAACCATGGACGATGCCCATCATTAGAGTAAGGAAAGACCTGGCAAGGCTTAAAAAGGAAACTACTGACAATGATACTTACCTACGGGAGTTCCAAAGCATTTGTAACCAGTATCCTGCACATGAGATCATATACACGGATGGGGGAAAAACTGAACGTGGTGCTGGGAGCGCAATCGTCATCGATGGTATACCACATGAATGGAAACTATGTCGGTTCTCTTCCATACTTTTTGCTGAGCAATATGCGCTGTGGCAGGCGATTATGTATTGTTCCATGGTTGTTGAAGGGAAATTTTTAATTGTCACCGATTGCCTGAGCGTTATCAATAATCTGTCGCAAATATTTTCTGATGACGTTATGACTAGAAGGTGTCAATCTGCCTTGAACCCCATACTCGAACGCATTGAAATAGTTTTCATGTGGGTACCAGGTCACGTCGGAATTTCTGGAAATGAACAGGCGGATCGTGCTGCTCGAACGGCGATATGTAAAGATCGTGTGGACGTCAACTTTGTTATGGCTACAGATGCGAAAAAGTATCTGAAAGAAAAGAGCGTACTGGAATGGCAACAGAGATGGGAAAGGTGTAATACTCACCTAATGCAAATAAAGCCGAACGTTGGTAAACTGTACACGGTGCGCGACGGGGACAGAGAAATAAATGTGAAGATGCACCGACTACGAATTGGACATACTGGTATCACGCATAAGCATATATATAAACGTGAGCATCCACGACAGTGCGACCGGTGTAGAACAACCCTCACGATTGCTCACTTAATTGGAAACTGTCCATTATACGTTTTGGAACGCGCGACACATAAGATAAGGGCAAATTATTCTGAAAACTTTAATCTAGACAACTGCAGAGGCACGTTAGCTTTTATGAAGCAAATAAATATGTATAAAGATATATAGGGCGGAGAGTGTGAGAGATGGTTTGTGCTGAAAGGGGATATGACCATAGCAGTCGAACCCTAATTAAAAATAAAAAAAAAAAA